AATAATTTTTCTTTTCTTTGAGATTCTTAATTTTAAAAGCCAATACACTTCTGGATCTAATGCTTATCCATCATTTATATCACCAGTATAAGTTTATAGAGCAATTCCTAAAACAGGTAATCCCTTATATGATTTAAAACTTGCTAAAACAAATAACAGCAACAAAACACAACTCACAGCCTTCTTTAATTCAGATTCATACTCATTAATGAGATGCTGTTAATATTTCATGCACAGTCTCTTCCCATTTGCTTTAAAATATTTCTGTAATGGAGATTAGAAAATACACCAGGCTCCTATGAGTAATGAAAAATTCAGATGTGCTTAGGGAAGGTTTTCAGCTGTAATGCAAATAATGTTGCTTAAACACTTCTAAAAGGGCCTCTGAGCCTCTGTTCCAAACAAGATTCAGAAGCATGGGAGGGTCCCATAGTCAGAGCAGGGTGGGCAGGTCCATCCCGGTGAGGCTGGATGCCAATAGCATCACCAGCAGTAAGGATTATCCTTCCCATGAGGTGTAGTGAGTTTCACTAACAAAACCAGATAAACCAGTCACAGAGGAGCAAGTGGAGATAAGAGAGACTCTAGCTCATCCATCTGACCAAAGAAGAGGCTACAAACCAGCTCAAGAACCCCAGACCCATCACATTCTTTTTTTAAATTTTTTAAAATTTTTTATTAGTATTAGTTTCAGGTGTACAAAACAATGCAATAGTTATCCTTTTCACCCCTCACAAAGAGACAACCCCCCTCCCCCACTTACTGACCCCCACCCCTGATATCATACATATCTATTATAATTCTATTGACTCCATTCCCACACTCTACTCCACATCCCATGATTATATATGTATTAAATTATAGTTGACATATAATATTATTCAATGGCAGCTTCAGATGTATCACACTCTTTTTTGGGGTCATCTTTAGCATCAAAGAACTATTCAGGAATACCCATCCTACTGTCCAAAATACACTCACTTGCTTATTTCAAACCAACTGGCTCTTTGCTATACCTCTTGATGTATAAAATGCAGAACGTGCTGCTTTTCTTGAAAACGCAATAGCTCAAAATTTAGGTACATGTACCTACATCTGATGATTAGAATGGCTTATGACTTGACATATTGTCACAAATTACATATAATCTATACTGTAACATGTGAATGAGTCCTTAGGGAGTCCTTGGGCTAAGACTCATTAGTCCATCTTGGTGAAATGAATGATTTTTATAAAACCACAAAACTGATTCCAATTATGGAAAATCCTGCTTAAAATATAAAGGTGCTTTTACAGGAAAATTCATGATTCCATGGGGTTTTGGCCTTGTGGCAACTAATCAAACAGCTGTCTCTGCTTTGCTTTAATGCTATTAGAACTCAGTTAAAAAAATGTATTGAAACCATTCATTGTTTTTTTCCTCAAATTTGCTTAAAACAATTGAAATTGAAATTTCAGTAAGTGTTGCAGAATAATTTTTGAAAGCAAACATAAAATAAATATTATTCCAAAGCTTGATCCTGTTCAATTGAACACAATGAGCATTTCTGAACATCTAACACCTGTCCAAGATACAATAAAAACAGCCTTACAAGATGGGTGAGGTATATACTGCCTTAAAATAGCTCCTATGAAACTTATAGAAAAATAATTTTCCAAAATCATTAGTTATACCTTATTGTAATTTCTCATCTAAACCCTATGAATTCAATAAATGCTTAATATAAAGAAAATATAAATTAAAAAATCTGAATACAAGACTAAAATACTGTTACTGTTATAAAGAATTTGTAAAGGCTAAATGGAAGAATTAAGAAAGATTACCAAGAGCAAAGATGTATCATTAGAGAACAAGGCTAAGATCATCCACACCCTTGTATTCCCAATTACCACAGACAAATGAGAAATCTGGACAGTGAAGAAGGCTGATAGGAAAACAAACAAACAAAAACATGACTGATTTGAAATATGGTGTTGGAAGAGAGCTCTACAGACATCCTGGACCGCCAGAAAGAGGAAGAAGTGGGTCCTACAGCAAATTAAGCCTGAAACATTGCTGGAGGCAAAAATGATAAAATTGAAGCTGTCCTACTTCAGGCACATTACGAGAAGGCAGGTTCTTTTGGAAAAACAACACTGCCCGGGAAAAAAGAAAAGGCAGCAGGAAAAGACGAAGACCAAATATGAGATGGATTGACTACATAAAAGAAACTATAAACATGAGACTCCAGGAGCTGAGCAGGACAGCTGAGGACAGGACATTGTGGACGTCACACTCATTCATAAGGTCACCAGGAGTCAGAGCAGAGTCAATGGCATGTAACACACACATGAATCTCTCAAATATAAAAGAATTAACTCTGGGAGCATTATTAACTGGTATATATAGTCTTCCACTGACTTCCTCTCCACATCCATGAACTACTCTAACTTCTCACAAAGGTGCTCCTTGTCCTGTTTCATCCAGGTGAGTTTCTTCTTGACCCCTCCTCCCTTCTCCTTCTCTAGGTTTCTTTGCTGCTTCTCTCTCCTGCTAACTTCTTTTCTCCATTTTCCCCATGTTCTTTCTGGGTGAAAAGATAAAGATACACATGTCTAAAAATATGATTGTGTTTCTAAAAACAACCAACCTCCTTCATCCCAGTGTCAAGTGTTGTCATCATCCTATTGAGAATTCCATTAAAACCTCAAATTGGAAACATCTAAAACCAAATACCTTTCCTTCTAAACTGCCTTATTCTCCAGGATTTTCTCTCGTAATTGGCATAATATAACCATCCAGTGGGGTGAGAAACCTGTTTCATTTCAATCTATGTCACTTCCCTTGCTCTGCACGTCCAGTCAGTCTCTGTCCCCAGTCCCTCTTCCTTATAAATGCCTCCCCTGCATTCCACTGCTATTGCTCAAATGCAGTCCTTGCTTGAGGGTTTCCCTGGCTGTGTTTCCTTTTTTCCCCCAATCCATCCTATGTCATGTTGTTTGTACTTCATCCCCCACCCTTTCTGAAAACATCTGATGGATTAATTCTGTCAAGAGGAAGAAGTCCTGAGTCATACATGCATATTTATTCCTGACTTGGTCCAAACAGCCTTGTTAGACTTTTCTCCTACCATTTTCTATACACTTAGCTGAACTTCTTGTACTGTTTCCCCAACTACAACGTGGGTATGTATGGCGGGATGGGACACAGCCTTCATCCTAGTTGCCTTCCTGTACGGCAGACATTGAAAAGCAGGAGAGTTACCCTTTCCAGACTCCTTTGCAGCTAGCATCTGGTTGTTCTGTAACTTCCACCAGTCTGGCACTCTTGCACACGGTTTAGAAGGTAGAAGCGATGGAGGCTGTGCATCTACTGCTTTGGCTGTTTTACCTGGTAAGTATACCATGAAGATGTTTTGATTTTCTCTGGCAGTGGAGATCTCCAGGACCAGTCCCTGAGCTCTTCCAAGCTGCATGCCAGGGTATGGGTATGTTACTGCTATAGTTGATAGCACTAATAAAAGTCAGTACCTGCAGCAGCAGCTTCTCTGGAGGTTTCCTGATCAAAGACAAGGCCGGAACTATGTTGGTAGCCTTGTCTTGTGGAATGGTTTTAATTAAGGTTATTTCTGAAAGTTCAACTTATAATCTCCCGACAATTATTTTCCTGTACTGAGGTTATTTCCCGCTTGAACAGCTGGAGGATATTCTGTCCTAAGCAACTGAATCCTGAGGGATACACATGCCACTCACTTTCAAAAGTCCATGCCTTTACTGGAATGCTCCTTCCCTTTATCCTTAAGTGAGCTCTAACTCACCCTTGAAAGCTTAGGTCACATTTTACCTCTTCTAGAAAACATTTCCACACTTTTCTTTGAAACCAAATAATTGCTTCCATCTCTGTAGTAATATAGAACTTTGTTAATATTACTAATGTTATTATAAACAAATTGTATCATAATTATTTGTTAATTTAACTTTTCCTTATTTGACCATGAGCCATTTGAGGACAAGAAGTATGTTTTACTTGCCTTTGATTCTCTAATGCTCTGGGTTTGGCATAGAGTGTAGACTCAGTAAACATTGGTTGAAATGAACTGCAATACACTGAGTGTGACAGAGTGAATAGAGATCTCACCCTCTAATATGTAATTTGTACTAAGTGCCAAATGCGGGGGGGGGGGGGGGGGGATACCTGAGGGCTACAAATTCAAAAGTAGCAGACATTAACTATAGGTGGGAGCTGGACTGAAGATAAGTGGGACACGGTTGTAAGTATTACAAGATGGATACAATTTGACCTTGTGAAGAAAACAAGAAGGATATTTCAAGCTTGAGCATGAGGGAGATTAAGCTGGGGGATGAAGGAAAACAATGAGTGAATTAGAAACAAATATCCTGAACAGAGGATTGGTGTAGGGGAAGTGTGACAGAGGAGTCAAGTGGGGGGGGAAAAAAAAGCATCAGCTTCTTCAAGCATCAGCATAATGGGAGTTTCTAAGCCCAAGGAGTGTGATATTTTTTAGACAGATAAGAATGTATCATTGAAGGTTTTAAAGAAGCATGCTTTACAAAGCTCGTTGGGGAATCTAGAGAGGTATGAGAGTAGCTTCCTTTCTTAAGTTGGCATACTTTACAAAAAATAATTTAATACTAAAAACTATATTAAGGGTAAGTAAACTCAGATGTCCAATGTTTGTTTGGATTACGGAAATGTCCCTAAGTTCACAGCAGAGCTCTTTGTGTTAAATGCAGGCCTCTTTTGCTCATACTATGTTATAATTCTCAAAACATGATGAGAAGGCTCATCCTGCATGCTTCGTCATCCACATTCTAAAGATGCTAAGTCCTTATCAGGCTAAAGAAAATAGCTCAGAAAAGCAAAATTGTGTGGGTTGTTTACCCAACTTTCGTTTATCAAAATAATAAACTCTAAAATATCAAAAACGTTAAAGCTTGTCCTTAAGACCTTTGGTCCATACGTGCACATTAATAAACTACACCATTAACTGTTAACTTACCCTTCCCGCGTAGTGCATAATAGTGAATGCTGTGCCTTGATCTCTGAGTGCGACGTTTCCATTCCCATCCTTCATGGGGGAATATACTGCATTTGTATTTGAGGATTCTAGGAGGCTTTGTAGCTTTTTGGGAAGGTTTGGTTCCACTGACCAAATGATTTGACTTTCTTCATCCAATAAAGAGAGAAATCCTGATGGCTTCTGAAAGTTAAGAGGAAAGAATTATTTTCTTCCGTTACTTAATTTATTGTTTTTGTTATTGTTCATGCATGCTCATTTATATTTTCATTATTTCATATAAAGCACTCAGAAAATGAATGTCTTTACTTTTAATACACATCTATTTTTACTCACTGTTGTATGCCCACCACCTAGCCAAAACTCTGATGTAATGTAGTCCCTCAACAGTATTTATTGATTAGAGAAATGAATAAATGCAAGAGTGTATTTTAATGTCAGTAAAGTACTGGTGTTATTAAAGTGTATAGTCTCATCTCAATAAGAAAATAAAATTTCCGACTACAGGAAAGTTGTCATTTTTCTTGACCCATCACCCAATCAAAAACTTCATACTTACAGTAGAACACGTAACTTATCAAAAAAACAAAACCTACAGTGATGTTGTCTTAAACAGTGTGACAAAATTCCACTCAGCAGGAAGTAGAAGTAACTCTATGATATTCTGATATTTAAACTTAGAAAAAAAGAAAGTTTGAAGCTATAACTCTGTAAAACTCAAATTAGAAGTCTGATCGTTTATTGCTGCCAAGCAAAGAAAATAAAGTCACATAGTAGACAACAATTTAAAATTAATGTCATGTGAAGGAAAATGCTGCTTAAACTTCCCAATCTCTAATATTGTGCTCCCCCAGACAGGGAACACCACTCTGCTCATGTGCTTTACACATCAGTTGAATAACTTTTTGCTCAGTGCTGTGCTGGTTATCTTTTCTTTCCTAGGCAAGAATTTCTGTTGACCTGTTTTAAAATAAAATACCTTATATTATTTATTTACATCATTCTGTCATAGATCTTAATTCTTCACATCAAATCAGTATGTTTCTTGAAGGGTGAAAAACCATCAAAATAACTCTTCTCAGAAAGTAAAGAGATCTATATGACCCATTACATCAATTTCAGCTTGTGTTTTGACCATACCATGAAAAGCCTTTCATGATGTTATTTATTTGGACAATAGCAAGTCATTTCTTTGTGTCATAAACAGTTTAGTTGTTTTAAGTCTTTCAGAGTCTCCCACTCATAGTAAAAAAATTCAAAGACCATATACAGTCATCTGAGGGCTGCCAAAGTTGAGATCATTCTGGTGCCACCCATAGGGAACAAAGGTTGAAAGTACCAGCCATGGGAAGGACCTGGAGGCACATACATCAGAGGGGACCCTTTTGGAGACATCTGGCAACTACAAGGGCCACCTCTAGAACGAGCAGACAATAGCCTCCTGGGAAGGAAAGGGAAGAACTAATGAGGTATAAAAGGGCACTGTGAAGGAACCGGAAATGCCTGCTCAAAGCAAGTTCACCCACCTCAGCAAGTTACCTAGAACACCCGGAGAGACATTTCTTACCAACAACAAAAAAATATTTTTCAATAAAGAAATTTGGAGAAGAAAGTTCATTATAGGAAGTGTTAGCCCAGCAGGCAGTTCTGTATAATACATCCCAAGAATCTCCATGTGGCCAGGCACCTCATAAAGAGATAGTCCCCAGGAAGAGCCCAGAAGTGCAGGGGGTGGGGGCGGGGAGGGGGAGAAGGTATATAAAGTAGATGGGGAGAGGCCCTAAAAGAAAACAGTCCGTGTAAGAAGTTTGCTGAGGGCTGGTCCTGTCTGGGATGTTTTCAAGCCCAGAAAGTCTTTATTTCAATGTATAGAAACCTATTTGCTGAAAAGTAAATAAAATGTTGATATTATAATACCAGAAGCCATTGCTTTGTCTTTTGATTTGAGCATGGTGTCATGTCACTTCCCCATAAGCTCTCACACTTACATATATTCACATGCAAACACACACGAACACATATAAATACACCTGGGGAGGATAAATGGAATGTTTAAAGGTTGTATGAAAGTGTGTCCATATTTCAGAGGCAGTGACAGAGCTCCTCTTTGGAGGTCAGAATTTTTATTTGATAAAGCTGCTCATGGTCAGTAAATCAAAGAAGGCCCCCATTTGAAAAAGGGAAGAAACTGATTCAAAAAGGGCTAAACCACTCTGCTCCAAAAGCAAGATGATGTTTTGCAAGGACGGGATCGTTTGTTACCAACAAGATATTTTGTTAAAGCATTATAATTTTTACTGTCTCCAAAAATTTTAAAGTTCGTAGATGTTGTATTTTCTGGATGTTTGGTATAAAGCCATGAAAACATGGTGATAATTAACTTGCAGACTTGGAAAACTTGCTGAAATTTCTGAAGAAAACAGAAGTGGAGAAGTAAGTCATAAAAAGGGATTAATGCCCTTCAATTCTTTCAGAAGTGAATGCTTAGGAGAGACTGAATTGTTCTACTGTATGTGAAAGGTTATCATATGCCGTTTCACCATAACAACAAAAAGCAGTGATACTGAGAGTGTGACAAAGTGCACGAGACACGGGGAGAATTTGGAAAGGATTTGGATTGACCCCCTCCACTCAGGGACATAAGTCAAATATATGTTCATTGAAATATAAATGTGGCCTACGCCCAAATCACAAATGTTTATGAGTAGCGGAGGATTATGAGTTGCTACAAAGGAAATAAGCTTGCTTTGGATTGTAGGGTATATGCTTGCCTGGTATATAGACCTATACATTTCACCCTATACTTGGTATCCTTTTCATTCCATTTTTATGGGTATCCAACAGAAACAGCAGCCAGAAATGTCCACTCTCATTTCCAACTCATACTGAAAGGGTCCTGCTACTGAAATAATCATTCCAAAGATGAAATCTCAAGGATGATATCCAAATATATGGAAATAACGTCATGCTGCTGACCACTGTTTAACAGTCAAGCATACAGCAGCAAGCAAGGAGGAGGATGGTGGTGCTTGAAGCATTCCATCTAAAACTAAGTATATGTTGCTGTCATTTTGAAGGCATTTTTAAAAATCTCAAATAAATAAATTATGTAGTATATGTGTCATGATGAGGAAGGGCTTTCTGGAGGAAGAAGGCTTCTTCTGTAATTAATAAAAAGAATGTTGCCAAGTTGGTAGCAAGAATGAGGGCATTTTACAATATTAGGAAAATGCATAAAATAATTTATGAGTCTACATTTATAGAAATAAAGGGTAGAAAATTAAACACAATGCTTTCCAATAGCTGAATGTTATCAATTTTAAACAATGCTCAAGGGTTTTACAGATATTATGGGTAAATCTACATAATGTCTTCCTATATTAGTAGATAGGGATTGCTGTTGATATGAAAAAATTTTGTTTATATGATAGAGATATTGATGTAAAGATTATTGCATTATACTTATACAAAGATAAGTATAAACACCTGCAGGTACTCTAAGATTATATGTATGCATAAGTATTTTTTCTGCCAATTTTCCCATATTTAAATTTAGAAACTTTGAAGATAGATAAAAAAGATTCTGTGGAATTTATTTTATGATCTTGTTAGTCTTAGATATTATTTTATAAAATATTAATTTTGTACATTGGGTATTTGCAACTATGCAAAAGGAGAGTTTTAGCCATATAATTAATGCTGAATATGTTTTATAACAAAATGATTTAAAATGTCTTGCTCTTTCAACGCATTGGTAATCCTTCAAATGCCCCTTTAGAAAAAGGTAATTTGTGCTCCTCAACTGACTTTAAAAGATTATAAATATATATTGCAGTCTCATATAGAAAGATATTTCAAAAATAAGGCTCCTTGAAAGAAAATTATTTGTCTCTAGCATGCACTCTGTAAAGTGACTAATTATATGAATACCTGGAAAAAAAAATCCAAAACTCCAGTCTGGTTACCAGGAGAATAAGCTGTTTCCATGGTAATTCCCTCTTGTACACATTCTGTTTGCTCCTGTAGAAAAAGCACTTCATTGATATAGTGGTGCATCTTCTCATTGGTCATGTTGACACAAAGCTATTGTGGAAGGAAGAGAAAACAATTTATAAGATAATATGGCCATGTATATCCACTCTTTCTATGACACAGTTTCAGATCGGTGAAATATTGCCTTAAGAATGTTCAACACCAATTTAGTCTATCGAGATAAAGCATTACAGTATTGCCTGAGTGAGAAACCAAAGTAAAGTGTTTCACATGATGTTATTGACTTCATATGGTCTGGTTATTTAATATAAAGTATGTAAAAAAAACAGTTATAATTACAACATTAACTTACAAATTATGGGTCTAAAATATATTTGAGTATTTAAAAATTATTTCCCAAAGGAAATATTTGGTCTCTAGTCAACAAATGAAGATGAAAGCTGGGTCGACCAGGAGCTCCCAGAGAAAGCAGCAGCATTTCTCGCCTCCTAGTTTCTATTGTGTATCCATGATGGGCAAGGAAACTGGGTTACTTTCAGAAAGAATAACCAGCCGAAGCATTCTATTGCAGAAAACTATTTCCTGTATCCAAAATTTTTTTAAATTCCTCCAACTCTCAAGTTTTCTCTTCCCACAAGACATTTCCATCAGGATATAAGTATGTTATTTCTTAACAAACTTTTAATTTCTTAATCTTAAAAAATTACCTTAAAATAGTTAAAAAAAATAAAATAGCCCAAATCTAATAAAAATAAAGTCTTACTTCCCCTCTAGGCTACACTCCAACTTTTTTGTTTTCTTTTATAACAAATAAATTTCAAAAGAGTTGTCTTATCTCAAATTCCTCTCCTCCCCACTACTGAAACCACCCTTACACAATTTTGCCCCCATGGTGCTACCAAAATTGCTTTTCTGGAAGTCACCAGTGACATGTGCATTCTACGTCCAAAGTTCAATTCTCAGTGTTCGTTTTCCTTGACACCCCCAGAGATATTTGACAGTTGATCCCTCTGCTTCCCCAGAGCACTGCTCTCCAGTCTCCCAGGACATGATTGACCTTCTACCCCACTCCTTCTCTGTCTCCTTCTCTGACTACATCCTGGAGTGGTCCAGGGCTGAGTCCTTGGGCCTCGTGTCTTCTCTACCTGCACCCGCCTCCTTCGTGCACTCAATGAGTCTCACAGACCACTATGATCTCCCATCTTCACCCTAACCACTGTGTTATACTAGGCAAAAATTTAAAATCACTAAGAAATATTTAGAATTCAGTAACTCACTGAAAATAGTTGAAGCTGCATAATGTATATAAATCAAAATAACATAAAAAGTTTTTTTAAAAATCAGATATCATTTGCAAAAGGAAAAACGTCTGAGATTATATTTAATGTGAAACATGCTGCATTTATGAAGAAAATGCCAAAGCTTTTGTAAACCATACAAGGCTGGAATGGACATCGGAGAAAAAAAAGACCACCCAGGGTTCCTCTTCTCTATATAGCCATATTCTTCTCTAAGTCTGGTGTCTTCTTATCACCTGCTAAGTAGGAGCTACTCCTATACATTCTTGTCCCTCAACTGGGAGCTCAGGGCTTCCCTCTAGGACATAGAAGAGCACCGCTCACACTGCAGCTTACAATCAGTGAGTCACCTTCTCAAATGACCAACACCAGGAAGGCTTTACTTTTCCATATGGTACCTGCGCCTGCCCATAAGGATGTGGCTACTAATGAATTCATGAATTAAAAACAAGAGCCATTTTTCTTACAGGTCCAGCTATTTGGAAGGATGGGAGTTTATGGGACTCTAGGGACATGAAGAAGGCTCAGCAGGAAACTTTTTCAGAGAAGACACAAACCTATCAGAGTGTGGGACAACTGTCAGAAAAGAGGAGTTTTTCCTGAGACTGGGATGCTTTGCTGTTAAGTTCTGTTCTTGCCAGGACCAGAATTCTGTGAGTAGGTGTAGAAAGCTCCAGTACCTTCAGAAACACGGTGATGGAGAATGCTGGGGTTGCAGGCACAGGGCTGCCTTAGCAGGAGTTGTAGAACTGAGAATTGGGGGGCTCTGGTGACCTAATGTAGTCGAGTTATTTCAGTGATCAATGTACATTGGTATTTCATTATTAATATGATAGGTGGAGACTAGTCGATATACTTGAACTATACCAAATAAAATATTGGGTCGTCGGAAAAGTCATGACTTATTTTAGCATTGAAAAACACAGAACAATACATCATGACTTTCCCGATGACCCAATATTTAAATAATAACTATATTGAAAATAAGACCTAAATAGCATATATGGATACCCCAACAATAACAAAAATTATTCTTGTCTCCAGGTCTGAAAATGATGGTCCAGGACTACTGACCAGAACTACTGACCTTGTTTCCAAAAGTTTTTCTTGAATCTCTCTGCTTCACAGTATAACATGGTTTCTGTAAATTCAGTGATAAATGAATGTCCGTAGCCTGTACAACGTCCCCTATTGTATTATATTACAGAATAAGACCTAAGTTAAATAAAACATGCCATATTGCCACTGTCTTAGAGGTCATTTTAAAACCTAAAAAAAATTTGAGGGAATTTGCTTAAACTTGGAATCACATGCTTCCTCCTACCCCTTCCTCCATGATATCTGGACTAACTGAATTTTCTTTCTTCCATCTGATTTGGCCAATAGTCAACTAATACTTTTCCTCTGCCCCTTGACGACTAGATTTCATGAGACATACACAAACCTGAAAGTTCTTTAGATTTACAGCTAAACGTTTTTTTAACTTGTATTTACACTGATCAGTTCTCTAAATATAAAAATGTTAAAATTATAGTCACTTCAGTTGAAAATATACCATATAGAACAATTAACTTTACTTGCTTGGTTATTAAGGCAAAAACAATTGTATATGAATACAGACCAATAAATTCTGCACATTGTAGCTGGTAAAGGGAGGGATGGAATTCAGTATTTAAATATCATATAAAAATATTTACTTTCTTGTAACTGATACAGCCTAGCAAATTCATCCTATTATATTGTTCCATCAGAATTAAGTGATATCATTAGATCAATAACTGTGTTTATCTCCAGGAATGATTCTGAAAAGACAAATTATTTTCTATAAAACTGTGTAGCATCTGTCCACAGTAGTATCTCCATTGTGAAAGGAACACATTTAACTGTCAGTCTCATTTTAATGCAAAATGAAAAAAAAAGCAAGTTCTGAAAATTGTTGCTGGAAGAAAAAAAAAGGAAATTTTTAAAATGAGTTCACTTTCCTTAAAAAAATTTTTGATGTGTGCCCCCAATCTAATAATGTGTTAAACTCCTTTAATACTAAAGCAATTTTGTTACTAAAGATTGATAAAGACTTAAAATGTGGGGTAAAATATTCATAGTAAATGTACAGAAAATGAATGACTCTATTATGGCATGCAACCATTGGAAAAAGATCATCTTTGATTATCTGATATATACAATTGTAATTTTTTAAACTTTTGATATTAAAAATTACATTGAATCATGTAAGGCAATAAAAAGAGATCCTACATTTCAGCGGTTTGATTTAAAAGTGGTTATGAAAGGTGTGCCTACATGTATTTTAGGAAATAGATTGCTCCAAAAGTAAATGCCCTGAAAAATAGGGTGATGTCTGTTACTGCATAAAACAATAAAAATAAATCTGATAAAGGATTCCAAAATAAGAACATCAGTGGCTGATTCTCTATTGCACAAGAAATAGCCAAAGTTTATGACATGTATCTTTGCCCTCATTCTGAGATTCTCTAATTGAAATGACTTAGATAGAAGTGGACGTCTCAACCATACTTACTATAATTCTCTTATCATTTTGCATTCAGAATAGGCTGCAGCCCTGTAGCTACAAAAATTACTTTTGATGACAATCTAAATTCTCTTGTTCTTGACTATCTTATAGGTGGCCATCTTTGTATGTATACCTGGCTGTAGTGTTTTGACTGACTTGAGCATTAGTATAATTAATAAAAAAAGATATTTTAATTGTTTTTTGTTTACTAATATTTTATTGAACTCAATTTTGGCTTTATGGAATTGCTCTACTGTTTTAGTCAAAATGGTGATGGCAAGTGCAGAAGAATGTGGATGGATTCACGGTAAATTAGAAAGAGCAGGGAGGGGTCAGAGTACCAGTCTTCTTTTTCTTTTTAACTCCCCCTCTGCCCAGGGAAGATCTAAAGAATCTGCCCACCCTTGGCTAACAGAAAAGGGATCTCCCTGTACTTTTGGACCGAGCATCTCAAGGTGTTATTTTCCTTGTCAAGATGATTCCTGAAACACAGCTTCTCTATTGCGCTTCTAACATTTTTAAGCTGCATCATCAGATGGTGTTTTGTGACATGGGGTGATCCTTACAATATATCTGAACCTTTTATTGTACATCACATTCTTTGTATTCTGGAGAGGGAAACAAAGTACTTTATTAAGATCCCATAGGGAAAATTCCAGATGCTGTGTAAAACTGAGTAGGCTGTGGAGTGATTTTTGACGCGTAGCTTTAATTACAGTGGTGCTTTCTGAGAGGGAAAATGTATTTGTATTTCAAACAGAGGAGGGCAATGCTGGGTGGTAAGGGGAATGACTGGGAGCATATGCAACCCCAAAGAGAATGTTTTTCAAAGTCATTCTGATGTAACGTGTACATCAAATTTTCTTACTCAAAACAGTTTGCCTTTTCCTATGCTAGATTGTTGAAAGCCTCACTGCACCGAAGTTAAAATATACTATAAAAGAAGTGCTGTAACATAAATTTTAAAACTGTCAGTAGCTAGGGGACTTATACAAACATAGCATCTTATGTCAGATATCAAGTTGAAAATTGAAAAATGCATCCCACCAACCAAATGGTGGCCCAAATCATGGCAAGAACCTGCTTATTCATTTATTTTCACAGAACTGGGTTATGTACATATGTGTGTGTGTGTGTGTGTGTTAAACACAGAGAAAGATACAGTGAAAGGTTCTTATAGGCAAATTAGTTTATGTATCTAGAAGCATAAATCTTCATCAATAATTGAGAATATCACTGACTTCAGTGAAAACAATCATTAT